TCTGATGAGCTTCTGTGAGTGGATGGTAGAACGGACAGTGAAGAGTCAGGATCACATCTATCCTGAAAGGACGTAGTACATAGAACAGGATCTCTTTCTTCAATAAGAGACTGTTGTAAAAATAACAATCTCATTAGTGAGAAAAGGTTACTTATTGCATTTATATCTTTATTTTCATAATGGTTTTCTTTGAATATTTCATTATATTTAATGACGTGAAAAATTTTATTATTGAAAATAATTAGTTCAATCTATTTCTATACAGTTGATTGAATATATACTTTTTAAAATTACTTTTCTCTTCAGGACACAGTCGATCATGGATTTATCTGTGAATTGGCAAGACTGTTTGAAATATATTGGAGTGGTTTCATTAACTTCTCTGGTTTTGAATTCAGTTTTCCTTTCATTTTTTTTTTCACCAGAATTGCTTTTTTTTTTTCCCTCCTTTCATTTTTTTCCTCCTTTCATTTTTTTTTCCTTTCTTTTCTTTATTTTGTCCAGATTTCTTTTCTTTCATTTTTCCACCAGAATCCTTTTTTTTTCTTTGATTTGTTTTCCTCCAGAATCCTTTTTTTTCTTTGATTTGTTTTCCTCCAGAATCCTTTTTTTTCTTTGATTTGTTTTCCTCCAGAATCCTTTTTTTTCTTTGATTTGTTTTCCTCCAGAATCCTTTTTTTTTCTTCTTCGATTTGTTTTCCTCCAGAATCCTTTTTTTTTTCTTCTTCGATTTGTTTTCCTCCAGAATCCTTTTTTTTTCTTCTTCGATTTGTTTTCCTCCAGAATCTTTTTTTTTTTCTTCTTCGATTTGTTTTCCTCCAGAATCTTTTTTTTTTCTTCTTCGATTTGTTTTCCTCCAGAACTGCTTTTTTTTTCTTTGATTTGTTTTCCTCCAGAATTGCTTTTTTTTTTTTTTTTTTTTTTTCCTCCAGAATTGCTTCTTTCACTTTTTTTTTCCTCCAGAATTGCTTTTTTTTTCTCATTTGAGAAATGCTATGATTTATTGGCAAACATAGTGGAGTGCTTTCACGTTTCCCTGTCTGATTTTGAATACAGAATATTTCAAGAGGAGTCCAGTCTACTCTGCGAAAAAAAAAGAATTATACTTGCCTTTTCCAACGCCATTAGTTCGAAAGCGAACGCAATTCGAACACTATTTGCTAATTACACTTCCCACTACAGTCACCTCCGCTAAAATCTTAGATTACTCGGACAGAAAATTATTTTTACGGATCATGGTACTTTCTTTGATTACTTTTATTTTCAGTGATTTAAAGTCGGTTCTTTCTTAAATGCGACTTCAGCTAATTGTTTTGAAAAGAATTCCTTGATCGTCCATGCAGCAAAAACCTGTTCAATTATCTTCTTTTCCACGGGGGTTGTCGGTGGTGTTGCATTAGTGGCTTTTTCAACAAGAAGTCTCCACTTGATCCAGCCATTGACCTACGCGTGAATCTGGGCAAGATATTCACCGGTCTATTCGACGACGTTATCCGACCATCTCTGGCGGCCCCCTTTCTCCTTTGTATAATGATTTTGAAGAGGCCTTGCGAAATGGCTGTGTCCATGCAAGTTCTGCTTACTCTTCTTTACCAGTTAGAAAATTTATAAGTTTCGCTGGGATCATCTCTGTTTTATTTTTGACGATAGGGTCATTGAAAGGGAAAACCTTTTGTAGAAGCCAAATATTGAAGCATGATTCTTTTTAGATGTTTTCTAAATTTAATTTTCTTTTTTGAAATCTATAGAAATTATTAATAGCTCTTTTATTTTCTTTCTTCAAACTCAATGGCTTCAGACCGGATCTCATATCCGGTTCCACAAGAGCTTGAAATGAACTGAATCAACGATTATATAATCGGGTTCATTGAAGCCGCTGGGGTCAAATTCCTTTTACATTAAGTCATGATTTTGTTATTTTAATTTCAAAGAAGGCGTGGAGTTCTTAACAAAAGGACGAGCCCAAAATGCAAATTACAGATCGTACAAAATAAAACAAGTGTAAAATGTCTATCTGGGAAGTGTTCTAAAAGAGAACGGTTAGTGTGATACTGAAATCCGAAGAGGCAGTAGGATAGCCAAAGATGCCTTCCGAAAGATAAGCAAAGTATTAAGAGGTAGAAAAACTAATATGAGCTCTGGTAAAAACATGTAATGATAACAACAAAAATTGCAACATGAGCACTGGTAAAAAAAAAAAAAAAAAAATGTTGCTGATGACATTAGGTTTATAATAGTCAGAAATTCATACACAAATGAGTTCAATACCTGGTTAAGGCAGTGGAGAACTTGGAGAGGGGAATTAACAGGAGATATAACATCCATTAAACAGGGTACGTGGAACTAGAACGCTCTACCCCAGTGAGCGAAATAAAGGGTTCAGTTCGATATTCCAACCACCTGACGAAGGCCGGAACGTACAACGGCCGAAACGTAGTAAATGAACCATTTATTTCGCTCACTGGGATAGACTGTTCTAGTTATACGATCTATGTTTAATGCATATCAGTTATCAGTTCTTAATTCTCCTCTCCAAGTTCTCCACTGCCTTAAGGACACATGGCACGGTGGATAAAGGCGTTGGTTAGATCAAGTGACAGGACCCAAACAGTGTGAGTTCAGTACCCGGTTAAGGCAATGGTGAACTTGGAGAGGGGAATTAACAGGAGATAAGTGATAACTGACATCCATGTCACGTGGAACTAGAACAGTCTATCCCAGTGAGAGAAATAAAAGGTTCATTTCGACATTCCAACCACCTGAAAAAGGCCGGAGCGTAAAACGGCCGAAATGTAATAAATATGGCATCAAAGACGAGGACAATAGTCCGAATAATGTAAATAGTGAACAACAGTGCAACAATCAAGAAATTGGTATTAATGCTTAAAAATAACACATCTTTGCTCTTAGAATTCTAAGAGCATAATTTTTATTCTCTACATTGTTATGAAAGTTAATTTTATACTATATTAGAATTATAAAAATATAATTAAAATGTTTTGATTTTAATTAATTGCTTTTTTTAAAAAAAAAACTGCCTGGTAGCAATACAGTGTAACCTGGATATAAGAGAGTTGTCAGGACCGGAGAAGAAGTCTCTTATATCCGGGTTTGGTCTATTTTATATACATTAACACAGGCTCTAATTTGGGACCAGAGAAAATCTCTCTTATATCCGGGTTACACTGTATTTAATTTTGCCCAATGTGGTATTTTTAATTATTCGGAATTTAAGAGTTATTGAATTATTAATTATATATCATAATTCTTCCGATTCGGAAGAGTATTCAATGAAAGGAGGTAATTCAGAATTATATTTTAACTTGTGCATCAAAAAATAAATAGTCTAGCAGTTGTAAAAATGAAAGACTATTTTTTTTTAAATGCCCGTACTCGAAAAATGGCATTAACCTTAATACTCTCCGATTCTTCGAATGTCGTTAAAAAACAAAAAACTCTTGCTACAAAACGCGACAGGATTAACTTCAAATCGCAATAAAGTAATATGAAAAATTTAGGAACAGGATTCACTGTAATTTTTGTTTTCCACTGCCCAAACTGAAAACCAGGTTTTATGAAACTAGAAAAAATTTGAAACAGGCTGACGCGCGTTAAAATCCTCACAGTATTTAGTCTTGAAGTTATCCCTTCTATTTTTTGTCGAGATTTCCAAACTGTTTTGTTCAATTTCGAAAACCAATCTATGAAATTTGAATAAGCTTGTTTGGAAAAATAGTTTGACAGAAACCTACTTTCCGGTTTAACAATTTCTTTGATTTTATAAAACTAGAATGGTAGATAATACTAAAGAAAATACTACTGACTGAAAGGAATAGACGGATGACAGAACAAATAGTGATGGTTAAGAGAAGTTAGTGCAAGAAAAAAAGACAGTGTGGAGAGCCATGATCGTTGATAGAACATGTTACATGAAATGTATACCTTTTTTTTAATGTCACAGGAGAATAGATTGAGCTGATGAGTATTTTTTTCTCGCTGTTTTTCGTCTCATAGAAAATACCTCTTTTATTTTCTTGAGTTGAAAATAACATTAAAGTGATTAATTTAACAATAGCGACAAAAAATACTTCATGTTCAGTAAATTCGTTTTTACTTTTGCTAGAAAGAGTTCTATTTGTTAGAGGGGGGGGGCATTGGCCCATTGTGAGAATTTAAAATGGTGGCATATAGAATTAAATCCGAGTTGTCAAATTGCTAGAAATAATGTTATCCCACCTTGTCTGTCAGGGGACTTCACTTAACCTGCATTAGACGACGTTTATAAAGCAGTATAAAAGAAATAAAGTTTCTCCCTTTTTATCTATCTCTCCAACTGCAGTGACAAGATGTCTCATGTCCCCCCTCCGGATCGATTTCTTTGTCCTCGAAGAAAACCACTCATTTTGACCACTACCACAGCGTAAAACACTATCTCCACATGTGTTGTGCCATAGTACTTATTCTATTGTAATGGACTCTCCCATAGATAAGTAGGAGTAGCAGTGGCAAGTCTGGCAGAATGGTGTTGAGCGCGTCAGTCGAGATTCGGACATTTGAAGTACCAACCATCACAACTAGATTGCTGCGCCATTGACTCTTATTTTCCAAGTTCCTAACGTTTTGTACGTCGGACCTAATTTAGGACAACTCTTAGAAAAACAAGCCTCCACTGTGAAAATACTCCACAACATGAGACGACCGCATGAATATATCTTCATTTAAACCAGAAAATATTCCAGTTCAATAAACGAGATATTGTTGCCAATATATTTTTACCATGCCGTAAAGCAAATCAAAGAAATTTTCCAGTTTCTTTTGTTTTCTAGACGGGGTGGGGGGAAGCATTTTCATGTTTACAGTGCGTCATTGGTTATCATATTTTCGATTGTTTGATAAATAGCTAAAATTCTATGTTGCTTTATTTTGACGACTCCAGTTTGTAGCCCTCATCAAGGGGTCTACCTTTTGCTTATAACCATATCTTATGGTTGATCCTTTCGGTTCGTAATCGAAATATCCATAGTATGACGACCCGAGTTGTTGCGATAAAAAATCAATGAAAAGGCTAATTAAATTCATTCACCCGTCCTGGGAATGACAAACTACATCCGCGTCCTGGGTAAGACGATAAACTACGTCCAACAGCAAGGCCTCTGATCAGGAGGTTTTGAGGAGCGTGGAACCATCTCTTAATTACTGGTGTCCCCAGGTCTAACCTGACCCAGGGTGGTAGCACCTGTTCGGGTCCCAGCTATGGGCAAATAGTTAACACCCAAACTTGTGTTAAAAAAAAGGTTTTAATACCAAAAATACTTTGTATTAAAAAAATAAGTATTACCAGCAATAATTTTTGAAAGAGAAATTATTATCAGCAATACTTAAAGTACTTATGAGATAAAACAATATAGATGAAAGTGCAGTTATCATTTTTTGCTAAAATGTGAACCTACAGCCTGAAATTTTCATTTATCCCTTCAAAATGAGTAATAAAAAATGGTTCAATATATATATATATATATATATATATATATATATATATATATATATATATATAAACAATTTTTTTTACCAAACTATCGCAATGAATCTATTTCAAAAATTTTGTAGACATTAAATGACCCCTGAGTTTGATATGCCATAAAACAACCAACCAACTAAATCTGTTCACGGTTGATAATGTTTTATCTGAAATCAAAAGCGAGTTATTCCTGTTAGACATCTCATCTGGACCAGTTTCTTCATCTTTGAAACGAATAAAGCATCGTATGATAATATTCTCATACCCGATTCAGCCAGTCGTCTCTAACTTCGGGTATTGTTCTATAGTAAAATAATTTTCGCAATATAGCATTATTTTCATATTGGCTCTTTGCTGGGGAGCCACACACACACAAAAAAAAAAAAATGTCGGCAAAATTCTGAGCTGAGAGTGACGTTACACAAGTGTGTACCATTTTTATTTAAGGCACCATCGACAGGTACAAAGTCTCTGAAGAGAACTAAAGCTTTGAATACAAAAGGAACAAAGTTAGCAATGCTAATAATGTGTATCTATAAGGAATGTCTGAACCATATTCGGTGTTTCAACGTGCAAATAGTGTATAAGCGTGCACGCTTCTTCGAATAAGCTACATAGCGCATATTATATATATATATATATATATATATATATATATATATATATATATATATATATATATATATACACATTCACGCAATGGTGCATCGTTATGCATTAATATTTAGAAGCGTTTTTATGGAGTTGTCGAGCATCTGTATGGATGCTTTTGAGGCGCGGGAGACTGACACAGACGTTTGTAAACGTTTATTTGCTTGTGCGTGGTATAGTATCTGCAGGTCTATTTTAATTGCATTTCGATCTGTAAGTGTTTGTGCGTGTAGGTGGCGTATGGCTGCTTTTTGACTGGAAGGTGCATTGGAGAACTCATGCGTAATCAGGCACACGTTCGTTTTCAATGGATGCGTAGGCACTGTTTATAGAACATATCAAAGGCGCGCGCGCAACTGGCGTGTCCGTATCTCGTAAAATGGCTAAATTCATTGCTCCATATCTGTCATACTCCCAACCATCCCTTTTCTAGTTATATAACCTCCACCGATCACCTAACTATTTATAATCCGTTTTTCTCTCTCATCCTAGCTCGCTACTCTTTCTTCCCTCCCCGTCTGTCTTACTCTTTCTTCCCTCCCCGTCTGTCTTACTTCTTTTCTTCCCTCCCTGTCTGTCTTACTCTTTCTTCCCTCCCCGTCTGTCTTACTTCTTTTCTTCCCTCCCTCTTCTTTTTCTTCCCCCCCGTCTGTCTTACTCTTTTCTTCCCTCCCCGTCTGTCCTCTTTCCCCTCCCTCTGTCTTACTCTTTTTCTTCCCTTTCTTCCCTTTTCTTCCCTCCCCGTCTGTCTTACTCTTTCTTCCCTCCCCGTCTGTCTTACTTTCTTTCCCCCCTTCCCTCCCCCTCCCCGTCTGTCTTACTCTTTCTTCCCTCCCCGTCTGTCTTACTCTTTCTTCCCTCCCCGTCTGTCTTACTCTTTTCTTCCCTCCCCGTCTGTCTTACTTCCCTCCCTTCTGTCTTCCCTTCCCCCCGTCTGTCTTACTCTTTTCTTCCCTCCCCGTCTGTCTTACTCTTTCTTCCCTCCCCGTCTGTCTTACTCTTTCTTCCCTCCCCGTCTGTCTTACTCTTTCTTCCCTCCCCGTCTGTCTTACTCTTTTTCTTCCCTCCCCGTCTGTCTTACCCTCCCCCGTCTGTCTTCCCTTCCTCCCCGTCTGTCTTACTCTTTCTTCCCTCCCCGTCTGTCTTACTCTTTCTTCCCTCCCCGTCTGTCTTACTCTTTCTTCCCTCCCCGTCTGTCTTACTCTTTCTTCTTTCTTTTCCGTCTTTCCCAACCCCATCACCTCTTCATAATCTCTTGCAGAACAAATCATCTATCATCTGTGGCACATAGATTTGGAATATCTTCATACAGCAAGACAGATAACATATGATTGTACTTATTGCTTTATGTATTCCGCCTTTTTTACAATATTAAAAATGCGATATGGAAATATAGATTTGCTGACGATAGATTCAGCGACATCAGTTTATATGTAAGAAAATACTCAGCAAAAAAAAAATTAACATTTAACAAACGTAGCGAATTGATTCCCGTTTTCTCATCTATTTTGAATTTTAAACATTGAATTCATAATATAAATTTACGCCCGCAAAAGCGGATTAGCTGTCATCTTCGTTTTCTTTTAATCTACTCATTTAATTTCTCGATGAATCTGAGGAGAAAGACATCGCTCGAATACTGGATTTTTTTTTTTTGTTTTACTGTGTATTGCGTTTATGGTAGTCATAACTTTATTATAATAACTTTTACGCTCACCAGTATCTACCAACCACAAAGAAAAGTAATCAAGTAGTCAAATTAGTGGCATGACGTGACCATCGTACTAAATATTGTTCTATATTTACAGCAACACTTTTTTTTTTTTTTTTAAAAAAAAAGAAAATCATCAATATGAGGCCAGACATCTATGTATAATTGCTTTCTGATATTCCGTTTTAAATAACAATGGTTACATGCCTGCTGTCTTGGATTTTAATAAAATTCTCATTAAATACGGTTCTCTACAGAAATGGCTTTTTCTTTACAAAAAGTTTGTTTTATTTGATTTAAAGAACATTCTCTCTCTCTCTCAGCTTGCTTCCAATTACATGCACGATAGCGTAATAGATAGCAGCTCGGATTGAGCAATCTGAGTTCGAATTGCAGTCGTATCCCTTACATTCACTTACCTTGGGAAAGGTATAGACTCTTCTCTTTGATGGGTAAATAGCAGAACAGACTGGGTTCTATAACCTTGGGTGACAACCGGTCTAGAAGAAGGAAACTCGGAATTCAAAACCGGCCGCGATCGGTTTACTAAGGTTATGTTAGAACGGCTTTGCCATATTGAAGATGACAAACAAATTTGAACTTAGTAAATAATAATTTCCGTTAAAACAAAGTTTGGCACAAGGCAAATAAGGAGGGTGTGTGAAGAATTCACGATCTGTGTTATCTTAAACTTAGCTCGCCAAAATTCCTTGCATCAAAACATCGTCCTTACTGGCCATTCTTACTATAGCCACCATAATACTTCAAAGTTTATGAAGTCCTAAATGATCCCTAGATGTACAATTTCTGTGTTGGATGAGGAACTAAAATAACGTAACAATGGAATCAGTAATGAATATTTACAATATGAATAATACTATCTATACAGGAAACTAAACAAAATCGTGTTAGTAATAAAAAAAAACTGCTTAATTGTCGCAGAAATATCAGTTATCTAGACGAAATAAATTTATAAATTAAAACCAATTATTCTACGAGCCATATACACGATTATACAATCATTCAGACACAACAAAAGCGACAATCGAAGTGCCCCCCCCCCATCCATCAGAGAACTGACATTTTTTTTCTAACTAACATAGGAGAGGAAATTAAACTAAAAGTGGGGTAAAAAAAAAATAAAGGGGCCAATGAGCATACATCTCCTACGTAAGTTGAAACTGAAAGCAAACAAGCCTAAACTCACCTATTTTGGGCAGGGTAGCCAATGTTTAGTTAGTGAGCTTAGAAAATCTGCTACTGAGACACTCAATATTACTTTTTGTATTGAATACAGATTGCGCATATTTAGACCAGTCAAGTGTCTGTTCAAGATAAGCCTTCGAGTCAGTCAAAAGCTAAAAACCTGAAAAACATCGTAAATTCAAAGTTAATGATAAAATAGCCATCTTCAGACAGGAAATATTCAGTATTAATTTAAAAAAAAAGGGTTAATATAAGTTGAAATTTCTTTTAAAACGATTTTCTTTTTGTTAGTAAATAAGGTTTCTACGTTTTACTAAATGTCACAACTCTTGCTTAACATAGTCGGAGTTTCCTACCAGACCTTTTGTTTTTGGTCGTATGAAAAATTAACGGCTTGATTACAAAAATATATTTTCTTAGAGTATTATTTTATGTTCTAACCATGTTGAGAAAATGCATATGGAACTATGCTTCTCTCTTACTTGACTGATATATAAATGTATAGCAGTTTATATATATATATATATATATATATATATATATATATAGTAATTATACTCGACTGGAAAAACGTTAGGCGTTTTGGCTTGTAAATGAACAAACAAATACCCAAGGAAAAATAAGGGATAAAAAAAGAACTAAGAACATGTGATTCAGGCGAAAACAATCGTCCACAATCCATGCTCAGAGTACCCTGACGATCCGCGTAGATGAAACCTTGGTAGGTTTGCCTGGCTCTTTAAGTTCATAGTATATATATAAACCTCAAGGAAACCATTTGATTCATCTCCAATATATTCTGAATTGGACATAATCTATATAAATAAATGCGAATGTCAGTGTATCACACTTTTTGGACTTCACTCCGAGTGGCCGTAGCCCAACATACTATTCTGGAATCGGGCTTGCACAATGAGCAAATTAAAAATATTACGGTACGGATCCAGACCCACAATCCTGAAATTTTGTGTTCCCAAGTTTTCATTACTGCGATTGTTTTCCAATTTCGCCATCTTGGCTTCATCTAATAAAAAAAAAATTAAGGGGACACAACTCTATCTTTCAATAGCTCAGGTTCAAATGAAAAAAAAATTACTGTTCTCAAATTAGTGTTTCAAAATAAAATTGTTCGTGAGCAAATTAAAACATTCCGAATCAGGAATCGTGAAATTTTGGATTCTCAAGTTTTCATTACTGCGATTGATTTCGACGAATTTTTCACGTGATTTTTCTTTCGTGACGAATTTTTTGTGCGATAACAAGTTTTGTAACTTGGAAATAAATTTGAGAATAATTGAAAATAATTGGGAAAATCATCCCTGAAATAAAAATAATTGTTTGGACAAAAAGTCAGGACCTACGTTCATCAAATTTTCTTTAAACTGAGTGGCGGCAAAAGAATTATCATTGAACTTTTAAAAAGGTAAACTTAAATATTAATGCAATACTTAAATGCAGTGATCAGTTTTGAGTTCTGTAGTTTGTTGCCTATCGCATACGTCAGCAGTAGGTGTCGCAAAAAGAAATCTCCGCCAACTGTGAGGACCAGAATGCAATCGAAAAAGGCAAGGCCGCAGCGAGGAAAATAAATTTTCAGGCAAATGAAAATCCCGATCACAACGGCAGCCAGGAGAGCTTTCAATACTGAGAATATACAAATTAGGGTGACTCAAAATCTTGAAACAGAAGAAGGCCCAATCAAGAGCCCACTGCAGGAGCTAGCTTAAATTCTGCCCGATAGGGTGGCTTTTAAACTAGTTATAAAATAAAGGTAAATTACATTCATAACTTGTAAGTAATATTTCTTTTTATTTACTATGAGGCGTCTAATTGTTAGAAAATAACACACATACATACATATACACACACACACACATATATATATATATATATATATATATATATATATATATATATATACACTATATTATAAATTGATTTAAAATATGGTTTTTCCGCTACACAGTTCTAACCATGTTTCAAAAATGGAAGGTCCAAATTTAATTTTGTAATTAAAGACATTAGTTCCATTTCATCCTCGAGCGAATTTTGGAGGAACTTATAAAATTACTGGGTTTTAAAGTCAGCAAAAATCAAAATTTACGTTTCCAAGGAAACAGAAATTCATTTCAACCAGACGAGGGGGGGTGTTTGCGTGTTCATTGTGTCTGTATTTTGATGTATCAGTTTTGGTAGGGGTGTATTTTTCAATGAAATCTGATATCCGTTAAATGCATGTCGTCTAGATTTTTTTAAGAATTTTATTGTTAACGGCAAAGATTCTTACGGCATTTTTTTCTATTTGTATATTTCTGTAAATTTACATTGAGCACTATTTTGTAAAAATAAAAATATCTATAAGAACACTGGATTATATATCTTACTGTTCTTTCTTTTTATATAATATATATATAGTTCCCCCCCACACACACACCTAAAAAAAAAATTCATAATTTAAAATATGAATACCTGAGTAACTACATGTCCAAGTTAAACGTAATTAAATAGGCTTCATGTCAAACAATAAAAAATTTGTCAAAATTCGAATAAGATATTTATAGGGCTGTAGATTTTATAACCGATTTCAGAAAGCTTCAATATGCGCACCATCTTTGCTACGACACACGTCCAGTGGATTGTCTAGCTCCTGGCAAACACGCTGTAGCATGTCTTGCGTAATAATCTCCAGCGCCTCAGTGATACTCTGCTTAACTTCCACTCGGCTCGCAAGAAGAGGGAGGATTATTCCTGGTGGATTCTCATATTTTGTTAAATTTGAGATTATCTGAACGAGAATTACCTATGTTATTAGACTGCAAAATAATGTAATTTTTTTTTTTTTTTTGGTTGGGGGACACCCTGTATATCATTTGGAAAATTCGCAAAGGAATATTATGCAGACAATTTAACCATCACCTCTACTGGGTGAGAATGCGTCTAATGTACGGCAATAGTGTGTTGATGTTTGCGGGGAAACGCGTAACCTCTTAGCAGTTACGGGGTAATAGGCAGAAAGCGGAAAGGGACGGGAGGTAACAAAAATAACACCGCCTTGAAAACCACAGCAACGTTAGGAACAGAATTCTCACAGCACCGACTTCACAAGACATCATGTCTTGATGGCATTCGTGTTTTTATTGGCATGAGACATTTTAGAAAGACCCAGATCTTGACCAGTTGCAGAGAGGCCCGGATGTATCGATGCCAAGATGTCCCGCTGCTAACAGGGGAAAACCTAGACGTGACTGGTGTTGGCAAACATGTCTGCATGCGATCCTTTGTCCTCTCTCGCGTCTGTACCGATGCACGTTCGACACATAAGAAAAATATCTTCGGCTGCCATTATCTCTTAAACAATATTAGCACTAAAAAAAAAACAACATTCATCGGTATGGAACATTATGCTTTTACAAA